ATTAAGCAGAAAATTCATTGTTAAGATAAAAAATGGTGTTTCATAAGTGACTGAAAAATACTTTGCATTAAGAAGCAATGAAGCAATAGCTCACGCCTGTAATCCCAGCAGTTTGGGAGGCTGAGGCAGGAGGATCACCTCAGGTCAGGAGTTTGAGACCAGCATGGCCAACACCATGAAACATCATCTCTACTAAAAATACAAAAATTAGCCAGGCATGGTGGTGGGCATCTATAATCCCAGCTACTCGGGAGACATGCAAGAGAATCACTTAAGCCTGGGAGCCGAGATTGCACCATTGCACTCCATCCTGGGTGACAAGGGCAAGAATCATCTCAAAGAAACAAAAAAAGAAATAATGAGATTCAAATAAAAATGGCTAAGTAAAGTTGATCTTAATGTGTTGGTGTAATGTTTTCATAAAAGTATTCTATAAATAAATTCTAGATGTTTGTATATTTTTATCTTACTATAAATATCATCCTTGTAAATAAGTATCTTGTTCATGAGGAAAAAAACTTTAAATGTTCATCCTTATTATATGCCAAAATACAATTATAAATAAAAATTTTGATTTCTAAGCAAAAGTCAAATCTCTTCATAATACTATACCATGTATTAAATTGGTCTATCCATTTGAGAAAAACATAAGAACTCACTAAGAGAGAAGTAATGTTTATAAGTAAATAAAATAAAATTTCGTTTCATTTAGTATACTAATTAAAATAATGAATTAATAGATTACCAAACCTCTCTTAGATTAGCAAATTTTACAAAGGTATAATCATTTAAAATTCATCAGTGTAAGTACAGAATTTTCTTTAAAACTTAGCAGTAAGAAAAGGAATAAATATTACCAAATAACATTTAGTATTACAATTTAAGATATAATTTATAGAGAAATTACAAATCAATTAATAAGGGGAAAATCATCTCATAAACACAATTGGGTTAGATGATTTCAATTTGGAAAAAATGTTAGTTCAGGTACCCAATGCATAATAACCTAAAATAAATTATGGTTGGATTAAAGAGTTGAAATATTAAAAAATCAAATAGTTAAAAGAAAAAAAGAAAATTGAACTTTTAATCAAACTTCTGGATAATAGATGACTTTTTAAACTTAGAAGCAACATATTTATGAAGATATGTAAAGATAAGTAAATATATAAAAATATGTGTTCATATGATACATGTGCTTGTGTATTTGTCCACAAAGAAAGAGAATAATATATTTGGTCAAACAAACAAACCAAAATTAAACCATACATATGCAAACCAATTAAGTCAAAAAAAAAAAAAAAAAAAAAAAAAAAAAGAGAGAGAGAGAGAGAAATCTACCACTCAAATAAAAAGGAAGAAATGGAAAACAGGAAAAATGTGGAGAAAATGTGCCAGAAGTGGAGTTAATAATCTGAATATAGAGCTCATACAATTTGATAATAAAAATATGCCCCAAGCTGACCCACATTAATGGGCAAAGAGTATGAACAGAACATTTTAAAAGGGGGCATTACAAACTCAAAAATATATGAATTTATATTCAGTATACAAGGAAACAAAAAAACCATAAAATATAAAAAAAAATTTAAATTGTTAAATTAATATTTAAAAAATACTTAAAATGCCAACAAATGCTCATCCTAAAACAGGTCCTCAAACTTTCTTGGTGGAATTATAAATTGAGTCATTCCTTTTAGAAAGCAAATTGGCAGTATGTGCTAAATACTAACAACTTGGATATCCTTTAACCCAGTCATTCTACCTTTAGATATATATGCTTTCAAAGGTATAAAATATGGTAAAAATATATTCAAGATGAATATCATCAACACATTATTTATAATACACAATTTTTTTAAAAATCCCAGAACAAACCAAGCAAGCCTTGGTTTCCAAGAGTGAAGGAATATTTAAGCAAGTGTTACACAGTTCATGTTTAATGAAGTAAATGTTTAGAAAACTGTTTAGTAATAGGAGAAATGCTTGCAGTGTTAGGTGAAAAAACTAAGGATATTAAATTATTTGAACGCTACAACTAAAACTTTTTAAAAAGTCATTTAAATGGGGGAAAGACCAAGGACATACAATAAGATATTAGGATTAAGTATACTGGAACAGAAGAGTTTTGGGTGAATGTTTTCCCTCTGTTTCAAAATTTCTATCTGATGTTATATTGCCTTTATAAACAAATCATTTGAAAATCAAAATATGGCTTGGCACTGTGGCTCACACCTGTAATCCCAGCACTTTGGGAGGCCAAGGTGGCAGACCACTTGAGGCAAGGAGTTTGAGACCAGCCTGGCCAACATTGTGAAACCCTGTGTCTACTAAAAAAACAAAAATTAGCCAGACATGGTGGCTCATGCCTGTAATCCCAGCTACTTGGGAGGCTGAGGCATAAGAATTGCTTGAGCCTGGGAGGTGGAGGTTGCAGTGAGCCAAGATTGTGCCACTGTACTCTAGCCTGGGGAAGAGAGCAAGACTCTGTCTCCAGTGAAATAAATAAATAACAATATTTACTAAAATCATGAACCAATTTAAGTTATACCTATAGTAGGGTACATATATATACACACATATATATGCACTTTCATAACAAAATTTTAAATACATTTGGTTATCATGCTTGAAAGCATTTATATGAAAATATATAATTGTTTACCTGGAGGCATTATGTGACAAATTGTTCATTTCTTTTTCAGAAACTCCTATCATCTTCCTATTTTATATTTATAAATGGTAAAAGATATATTTATTTAAAAAAAGACTTGCAGTATAAAACAAACATTAATTCATTGAGTATTATCTCCTCATGGGTTTGTTATAATAATAGAAATGTTTGGCAGAGCGCCGTGGCTCACGCCTATAATCCCAGCACTTTGGGGGGCCAAGGCGGGTGGATCACGAGGTCAAGACATGGAGACCATCCTGGTCAACATGGTGAAACCCTGTCTCTACTAAAAATACAAAAATTAGCTGGGCGTGGTGGCACACGCCTGTAGTCCCAGCTACTCGGGAGGCTGAGGCAGGAGAATTGCCTGAACCCAGCAGATGGAGGGTGCGGTGAGCCGAGAGCGCGCCATTGCACTCCAGCCTGGGTTACAAGAGTGAAACTCAGTCTCAAGAAAAAAAAAAAAAAGAAATGTTTCATGGAGGGGGGCGGGGAATATAATTTTAACATCCAATGGAAAAGATCAGAAGTATATGTAAAGTTTTAAAGTCATGCTTAAAAGAGAAAGAAAAATGAAACCTTTTATACTCGAAACAAGTCATAAAATATGACTTAAACAGACATAAACTTCATAGAACCCAAATCCCACCAGAAAGTAGGTTCTCTTCTACAATGTAATAATGGAAACTGATTTCATGGTTCTTTTTTTTTTTTTTCCAGCTATTTTAAAGGTAATCCCTTTTACAGCCCTGACCTTTTAGCTATTACTTCAAAGGAGAAGCAGCATTTATACTTTAACTGCTTATCTACATTCGTTACAACTGTGGGAGGCTGTTAGTGCAGTCAGTAAATTCCCCATGCTTGGCTTCCTTTTCTTTCTTTACATCAGAGTCCATTTAAGGTTGTGTTAAGAGATTACAGTCACAAATGTATGTATTTTGTGTTACATCCGTTCATTCAGAATTTCCCCAATGCATAATGCTGCAGTGCTGTTCATGCAAAATCCAGTTTTAGAACCAGGCTAACTTGTAATTGTTTTCACAGCTTTCCAAAGGATATAAAGTGTATTTATGAATAACTGTTAAGTAGTATAATTTAACTGTACTCTAAGTTCCTATTGGTCTTTGTTTTGTTTGAAACTGAGAAGTAGTTTTGAATAAACTAAAAAGACAAGAGAAAGCAAGGAAAGGCTTCATTTTCTAGTTGTTCTTTAATAGAATGAAAAATAAGTGTACTTAGCAACTGATGCAGTGATCTGAAATAGCCCTAAAACTAAATGGGTGATTGTGATGAATTTGCCTCTACAAGGAAAGCTTCAGGCCAAATATAGACATCGCTTACTATATTTATAAACTACCATGCAAATTTGGTATAATGAATCTGTACATTTATTATTATTATGCTCATTTATAGGCTTAGAATGTACTTTTACTTCCAATTGTATTCACAATTATTAAATTTTAAACAATTTCTGATAACTGAAGTTTCATTTATCTGGTGTTAAGTCTCCAAGAAGGAATTGCAGAATTGGGCTTAAAAGATAATTAGCCCAATTTAGAGATTATTTCCAAAAACAAATTTGGCAAAGGGTAGAAACCACGTATCACAAAGTATACGCACACATATATATACACATATGATATTCTAAAGTAAGATTTTTTTAAACTCTCAAACTTCAACAGATCCTTATAGTATAAACATCAAATCCAAAGCTTCCTGGTTGGATTTACTAAGTCTGAGCTCAAATTGCCTGCTAAGTCTTGATTACTTGCACGATTACCAGAAGAAGGATCAAAAGTGGGATTCATAAAGTCTCTAAGTCCTGATTTTAGCTATGAGCTTTTACGTCACCAGATTTACAAAATAAAAAACAAAACAATCAGTTTAATTTAATGTAAATTTTAAGTGATCAGCAATGGCAGCAGGGAAAGAAAAGCAAAATATTGCAAGTATTCAGAGCCTATATAATTGAGAACTAATTATAGTACATGTGGCAGACTAGATTAATACTTTCATATCACTTTTATGCTGTATTTTTCCTATAAAGTACATCCTCATTTTTCAATGTAATATAAGGACATCAATGTCTTAAGTCAATATTTATATGTGGCCTCTTTAAATTTTGAAGTGTAATGCAAATAAAAAGAATATACATTGTTTATAAAAATGTTCAGTTTAATTATATACTTTTCTAAAATAAAAGAGCAAATACTCTTTTTCTACCTACCTGCATTAAGACAGTTATAATTCGCTTCAATATTGTAAATAGTGTTCAGTCATATCCAGATGCACATGTTTTTTCTTTTTCTCCTAAAAGTTATCTCACCTTGCACTTCGGACACTTCTGGGCATTCCTCTGCCCATGCTCAATTTCGCTGGCCCAGTGACGCAACAATTTGTCTCCTTTTTTGTACTCCTTGCAGTTAACACCTTCATGCCAAGGAGAGTGGCACTTAAAACACCAGATGAATTGGCAGGTAGGGCACTGGATCTGTGTAAGAAAAAAAATCGCATTAATTATGAGTGGATATCCTGAAAGTGTCTAAAAGAATAAGCAGGTGATGCTTGGGGAAATCAGCTAAAAGTTTATGCCTTCCTCTCTTTAATACCAAAACTACACTAAGATATGAAGACTCTGTTACTAAAGGAAAGAATTGCTTTCAGAAGGATGACGTGGCTATTTGTAGGCCATACTGGAGTTAAACATTTGGTTCTGGAAACCAATTTAACTTTAAGAAAATCTCCCAGATTGAAGTACAATCTCCCTGATTGAATTGGAAGGCTCACAAGGCCCCAGATCCATACACTCAGGCTGCCCTTTAACTCACCTTTCCCTTTAACAAATTACTCAGCCGTTTCCATTGACTTCTTAAGACTGGCTTATTTCATTTTATTTTTAAAAAGCCCTACAAATGCTTTATCAAATAAAAACACAGTAGCAGTCCCGGTGGCTTAGGCCTGTAATCCCAGCACTTTGCAAAGGAGGCTGAGGCAGGTGAACCACTTGAGGTCAGGAGTTAAAGACCAGCCTGGCCAACATGGTGAAACCCCATCTCTAATAAAAATACAAAAATGAGGTAGGCATGTTGGTGCATGCTTGCAATCCCAGCTACTCGGGAGGATGAGATGAGACATGAGAATCACTTGAACCCAGGAGGTAGGGGTTGCAGTGAGCCAAGATCATGCCACTGCACAGGCGGTGGGCAACAGAGACTCTGTCTCAAAACAACGACAACAATAAAAAAAAAAAAACCACATTAACAAACAAACTGCTAGAACAGCACTTGCTATGAAGTACCACCTAAAATAATGGATACTCCTGGTTTGTTACCAATATAAGGGAGGCTAATTATAAAAATCATGCAAAGCATTCTATTATTATAAATATATCAGTATGGTGGTCCTGTGGCCAGTACTTAGCCATCAGAAACAGGGCTTCATCTTTCTGTGAGGGGGTATATGACAGTGCATACGTCAGCTCAATGAGAATATCTGTCTTCCACTTGAGAGGGAAGATATTTTATCTGACTTCCTTTATTTGAATGATAGTGGAATATTCCATTCATACATATTATTTCCATTCCTAACTCTCTAAAAGAATATGGGTATAACCTTACTTGCAGAGCCCCATGTGATTACAATGAATTAATAAAATGTCTCATTATGGCCTGGTACGGTGGCTCACACCTGTAATCCCAGCACTTTGGGAGGCCAAGGCAGGTGGATCACAAAGTCAGGAGTTCAAGACTATCCTGGCCAATATGGTGAAACCCCATCTCTACTAAAAAGTAGAGAAACCCTGTCTCTACTAAAAATACAAAAAAAAAAAAAAAAGTTAGCTGGGCATAGTGGTATGCACCTGTAGTCTCAGCTACTTGGCAGGATGAGGCAGAAGAATCGCTTGAACCTGGAAGGCGGAGGTTGCAGTGAGCTGAGATCATGCCACTGCATTCCAGCCTGGGCAACAGAGCGAGACTCTGTCTCAAAAAAAGAAAAAAAGTCTCATTCTGCATGATATTTATAACCGAGCATTCTCTTTGCTTCTCTCCATTATGTCACTGCAGCACGCGTTGAATTCACTGACTACATTTTAAAAGTTAGAATTTCCATTGGTAAACTGTACACAATATTGTCACTTAATTTTGGGGGAAACCAATTTTTTGACAATGGCAGTTCTACTATAGAGATTAATTAGCTTAGCGGCAATGACAATCACAGCTCTTCTGTTAATGGCTCAAAGCACTGTAATTTTCACTCATGTCAAGAATGGATAATGTTCTTCCTGTGCAAATATGCAGTAAAAGTACTTTTGTTATTAACTTTATATAAAAATAGCATTTTGTCATAAGGCTTAAAAGATCCTGTTTATTTATTTATGAAAATTCTGTTTAATGGTAATGTCGATGCTGAATATATTATAAGCATTATTTATTTTCATCCTCAAAATAACGCTGGAAGGTAGACATGAACATCTCAGTTAAGAGATGATAACAATGAGGCTCAGAGAGAATAAATAACTTGCCGAAGGTAACACAGCACATAGGTGTTAAAAAGGAATTTAAACATCAGTTTGGCTCCAATGTTAGCATATTTTTCACTATACTTCTTACACTAAACGGCATTTGTTCTTTGACAATTGACAACGTAAAATGTAGCAGTCAAAGATGGTCATATCATTTAACTATTCAATAAGTCAGAATTCCACATGATTACCAAGATAAGGTGAACTCTGAAAATTCTTTTCAATATCTACTCTGTACAAATTGGGGAACTACTTGGCTTAACTAAAAAAATGAAAGAAAAGAAAAGGATGTTACTATTCAGCTATTTAAAATGTTTTTCCTTATTTGAGCATTACAATTAAATCATTTTTAAAAGAAAACAACTTGAAGAAGATGAGATTCAGCTAAGAAAACATCATAAAATGTTTACTTCCATTTGTCATTGAGTGAGGAAGACTAGATGTAAATATCGCAAGGGGTCTTCCTTTGAATATAATGAATGAAATGAGGAAAGTGGGAAAAACATTGCTTTTCCGTATGCATCTACCATTAAGTCAGAGGACCTGAACAATTAATTCAGTTATCTTCTATTGGACATTATTCATAATTCTGACTCACTAGACTCTAGTAACATTAAATAAATTTTTTGAAAAGATCTCTCTGGTTTTTAATCAGTTTTAGATTATATTTATGAAATGAATATTGGAATAAATGTACAGATGCTTTGAAACTGGGATTTGCTCTATAAATGTAAGACATTTAATGGCTCAGAGATCTTTGTGACTAAGTGCTGAAGTATCACATTTGTGAATCTCTAATGAAGACAATTATAGCAATGCATGATTCTCCTAAGGCACCAGAATAATAAGGAATCTGACACTTTGTGTCCAAACCAGGGACTCTGGCTTATAATAAACAACCAAGTCCTATTGCAGATCCTATTGCAAATCCTCACCAACAGCACAGACTTAGTGGCAATCTGTGACCAGAGTTATGGGGCAGGCTCTCCAGTGAATATGAGTAAGTTAAATTCCTACTAGATTGCTTACTATCTCTCACTGAAAACATCAAAATCAATCTTAATTTGCTTTGAATTAAAATCATAAAAAGACTAATAGCCAACCCCAACAACTTTGGTATTAAAAGACTACATCTGAAATTGTTCCAGATTTTTGGTTTGAAGATGCTTCATTCATTTTGGACTCAATCTTTTTCCAAATTGGCCTTACATAAACACATATGGACATCAACACTGCATCTTCCTCCACTCTTTTATTTACAGTTATTCTTCCACATGATATGCCATCTCATAACCACAGACCCACACATGGAGTGCCTGACTTCTGAGTAATTACAGTCACACTGAAATCATCATGCTCTGTTCTTGTGGCTCAAAGTGTGGTCGCAGGGCCAGAAACATCAGCATCACCTGAGAGCTTGTTGGAAACACAGAACTCACGAATCCTTAGACCTCAGAGCCAAAAGTGCACATTTTCACAAGGCCTACAGGTGATTCGTATGCATCCTAAAGTTTGAGAAGCACTGCTCCATACCATGTGACTCCATCACCCTGGCCACAATTTGTTGGACCAGGAATGAGTACCTAAGCCAAAAACACATATCCACTAGTTGGCAAGCTGCCTAAGCAGTGGCATGAACTTTGTGCGGCAGGGCTGCTCGCTCATTGTTGAATGGATAGTCAAGATAGATTTTTCTCTCTTGAGGAGTGTCATGAAGATACAAAGGATGCTTTCATGGAGGCAAAGACAGAGAAGAGCTGAGTGACTCCAGTGCAGACCACTGGTGAAGGAAACAGACATTGACTTCCAGTGAGATGACAGAAAGGCTCTCACATTACCAGAGCTTGTATCTGATTCTCTGTGAGGCCTGCCAGGGCAGCTGCAGAGAGTGTTTTCTGCCCTTCCTACTCCCCATAGAGCCTTCCAGTAAACCTCACTAATTGAGGTAGCCCAAGAAATAGCACATTTCTGCTTCTGGTAACAGTGAACTAAATCTATTACAATCTTATCTTCAGCAAATGCTCCTTTCTTCATGATGTCTTCCCTATTCTTCGCAACCAGATTCATTATCTTTCTTATGGAAGTTCCATCAAGCATGTAGATGTCTAATCTCTCCAGCAGCCCAGAAGTGCACTCCTCAGTGAGCTGTGTTTGTCAAAGGCTTTGTCTCATGTAAAATGAATTATTTTGCACACAGTTTAGGTACCACGTATCAGTTAACATTAAATGAATTCAAGGAAAAACCAACATATCTAATTTATGACTTGTGGCTGAGATGATACTGCAAATTCCTATATTATCAGATGTTTACTAAATATATTATCCTAATGGTCTTTCACTGAGCACTATGATTAGTACACAAACTCTTCTAAAAGAGGTGAGCAGGGCTGCAAGTGCTTCAAGAACAAAGTTATCAGAGCTCAGAATCTGGATGCACTTTCTCTAGAATTCACAAAAGATAAAAGAACTTTATATTATATTTTTACTTTTGAATACCCTTAGTTTCTCCAGAAGTCTGTGCTACACTGAGATGAAAGTACACAGCTCACCTGCCCTAAGAAAATGGCATTTTCTCCTGATAATTCATCAAGTCAAGGAAACAACCCACAAAATAAAAACAGTATCTAAAACTAAAGAAAACAAAAACCAGATCATTATTTTCCTGCCTAAATTCTAGATACCCTTATACACATCATTTAAAATAAATCACAAAATCATTACTCATCAAATTCAAAATACTAAACAACCACCATGTGTAAAGTAGCACTGCAAATATAAGGGCTAATTCAGTTTTCCAAAAAGAATTGGCTTTACTAGAACTTCAGGTTCAGATTCTCAATAATGAAGCACATTTATCAATTCATTTTCCCATTTGACAAATATTTATTGGGTACCTTCAAGTAGCAGAGACTGTCTATATTGATTGTAAGCAGAAAAGAATGAAAATATTTGCCCTTACGGAACTTCCT